CATGACTAGTTAAACTGTTACTTTTATTATATGCAAGCTGTGTCACTATCAAATGAGTTTTCATATTCCATTTTTAAAAGAAATAAATTAGTAAAAACAAAGGATATGATGAAAATAATTAAGCAGCAAAACTATAATATCACAAAGAAATAGTTAAAAAATTATCAAGAAAAGCAAGTATTGAATTTTTTCTAACTTGTGTTTATATTATTTTTTTTTAAAAAAAAACTATTTTAATTTCTTATAGTTTGATTTTAATTTCCTAGATAGTTTGATTTTAATTTTCAAGATAGTTTGATTTTAATTTTCTAGATAGTTCAATTTAAATGAAATTTAATAATTATATACTGTAACAATTTATGTGAACTGGTGCATATCTAATTTGAATCTAATAATTTTGTAAATTTAAAATTCGATTCAACTTGAATCTGATTGGATTAAAAATTTTGAAATTTGATTTGATATGATTTGTATCCAATTCATGGATCAATCAGATTCAAATCAAAATTGTGAACATTATTTCAGATACTCTTAAGAATATATTTTCTTTGTTATAGATACAACTATTCAGGATTGTTTCACAAACTAAAATCTTGTTTTTGAATATTTTTTTAAACATAACTGTGAGATCATTGCATATCTTTTCATTTGGGTATAGGTATTACATTCTATATTCTATTCTTGAGATTAGGATCTTATTAATAATATATCAAATATGTTTTTTTGCCAACTTTTTTCTAATTATTGCTTGAATCACTATCCTGATTTCTAATTTTATAAAGCTAATAATATTTTTGTTCTTTTGTCTTAGTCCTAACCAAATATCAAGAAATCTAGTTTAATCCTTCTTATTGATTTTATAAACCAAAGTACCCTCTATTTTGATTTAAACAGTTTTAGGAACTTGATAATTCAGTTAAAAATAAGAAAAAATGATTTTTTTGTATTAATTTGAGAGACATTTGTTATATAAAACTTTTTTGCTTCTTCTTAGATCCTTTTCAAATCTTTCTTGAATTTGACAATACAGGTTGTGATATTTATATAGCAATTATTACCTACCTTAAAGAGAACTTAACTTTTTTCTCAGATTTATTGAAAATGTGTGACTATTCTTTTTCTATAAAATAATTCAGATTGATATTGTCTTGAATTTTGTATAGTAGTGAATTATAAAAAATTTTCCATAACAATGAAAAGATTGTTTTTTCTTAATCTATACTATTTTCTGTTATTATTGAATTATAGAATCTATTGAAAAGGATAATATTATAACTTCTGTCTTTAAAAAAGTCTATTATAAGCTTATTGATAGTTATAGGAATTCAAATCTAATCTATGACCTTTTCAAGCATATAAAGAGATATTATGCATATATTTTGATAGGATTATAAAAGAAAATCCATGGTTTTTTTTTTTTTTCTCTGACTTCTTTATAGATATTGTTTAGTAGATAGATAAGTTCTGCTATACTCTTTTCTTGTATATTAGCAAAGTTTGAACCTTTTAAGATTTTGTATTGCTAGCCAATAGTTAGTAACTAGTTGATAAAGATCTTGATAAAATATTTTCAAGCTATTTCTAAAAGAATAATAGGTTTTGTGTTACTCAAATTGCATTTTTAGGACTTGAATTTGAGAATGAAATAGATGTTATTACTTTTTAATTTCTTGCATATACAGCCCATACTTAGGACTTTATTGAAAAGAAGATATAAACTTTTTTTTTCTTTGACTTATAAGTGTTTAAGCATTTTATAGTTGATATATAAAATATTTAAAAAATTGTTAATTAAAAATTATTAATTTTTTTTTAATATTTTACAAAATTTTTTATATTATATATATAATATTAATTTTTTGTAAATTGTATATTTTATTTAGATCAAATTTTAGACCTATTAATTAATAGTGCAATAGTTAGTATTTTATAAGTCAAATTATAAGATACAAGTTTAAATTTTACAGGGAGCATGAATATATATTTATTAATTTAATTATATATATCTAATATTTTTTAATATAGCTATTAATTAATAGAAAAACCTGATGATTAGTGATTGAATTAATTTTTAAAATCAAAGTTAAGACAATCTTGAATTGATCATATTTTCTCTAAAAAGATAATAAAAAAAGCAAATCCAATTGATTAATAGAGTGTCTCTAAAAATAAATTACATAAGTATTGAATATTATTTCAAACCTTCTGTTTTTATTATCAAAAAGCTTAATAAAAGGAAAAATTTATAAATTATTTTAAAGAACTAAAATACTGAATCTAGAATAAAAAAAATTCAATAGCTTGATAATTAATATATTTTTAATAAAAATTATACTAAAAATAATTAAAAAGGGATTACATAACTTTTTAATAAAATAGTACTTGTATATATAATATAATTTATAATATATATATACTTATTTAGTATATACAAAGTATAACAAAGCAATATATGAGAGAAGTATATAAATATATTTTACTGTTACTGAGCATGATTTATAAATATATAATTTTACATTTTACAAAATCAAATGTAAATTAAAATTTATCAAATAAAAGTTGTAATTTGTTAGATCTTTGAATGAGTAATTCCCTTTCTTTTTTTTTTATTATTTTCTATTAAAAAATGAATAAATATAATACTTTGATAAATAATTTATAAGATATTGACTTTATTGATATTGAATTTCAATTAATGATTAGTAAAAATAGAAAATTTAGATTATTTATCTAGTAATTCATATAGATTAATAATGTTTTTTTATTATCAATTAAACTTTTTATTTATCAATTCATTTTTTTTATTTCTTGTTTAATCAATTTAGTTTTTTTTAAATTAAATGTGATTTATAATATTTTTTCAAAAAAAAAAATTTTTTTTTAATAAACTATAGTATTCTAAAAAAGTTTTTTTGTATCCCAAAGTTAATCTATATAACTTTAGCTTTTCTATTTTTAATAGTATATAATAAATATAGAAAAGTTACAGTAGATTAACTTTTAATACAAAAGTTTGTTCAAAGACTTTTTTAATAACTATAAATATTATTAAAATTATATTAACGAACTAGTAAATTTTTATAATTTACATTGTAACTTAATATACTGTAAATAAACATTAATTATCTATAGAATCTTGAAATTTTTGAAAACGTTAATGAAGTTTTAAATAATAAAAAAAAAGCAAAATTAGATTTACAGTACTATAATTTTCATTGTATTAAATTAATTACAGTATTTTTGATTTTTAAACTCAATAATAATTTGAGAACAATTAAACAAAGAATTGTATTGTATTATTATGGGTATGTTTATAAATATTAAACAACGCACACATCGACAAAATCGTTCTAATAATCAAATTGAACAAAGAATCTTAATTTACCTAAACAAGGTAATATTTAAAAATTTTCAATATTTAAATTTAAATAATGTTCGCGAAGTGCGCAATCATGTTTTGATGCATCCTTTATTGTATGAGTTTGCATAAGTAACGGTACACCTCTTGCCTTATTATCACCCTCGACTTACATACGCACGTGCATATATTATTCGAAAACCATTCTTTCGATCGATTCGTTGCAAACTTTCCATCATTTAATTGCTTTCATTCGTTTGTATAGCTTCAAGTCTAACGATAAAAATAAAATGATTTTCTTCAAATATAAATACGCAGCCACATATTGTATACCGTATATAAATTGGTTGATTTTAAATCAGATTTAAAAATATTTGATTTCCAAAATTTAGTTAATTAAAGAAAAAAATTTTTCTTTTTTTAATTCGATAATTAAGACAAAATTTAATTAGGAGACATTTCTTTTTACGTTTATTATTCACAGTTAACACAATAATAATTAACCGAAAGTCTTTCTTTAAATTTCATAATCTCCAGTTAATCACGTACTGCATGACACAGCCAATCACATACGCGGTAGTACGCTTTGCGCCATGCACAATAAAATCTTATTATATAAGTATCACCTGTACCATTTACAGTAAGGAAGTTCTCTTTTGAGTTACTACCGGGCAGCTTTATATAATCCCCGAAATTGACGCAGGTTATGGATTTTTTTGAATCACAAATTATCTATAGGGGGTCAAACAAAACCTTTTTTGAATTCACGGAGTTGTTCATTTGCATACATGTAGTTGACTAGAATAAAATGGTTTGAGTTTAATTGTTTATACGTTGAACGTGTATGAAAAAAATTCCTTGGCATTCAAATTTGTAAATTCACAACTTCTTTGACATTCAGATTTGTAAATGTAACATCCACAACTGGTTTAAAAAAATTGTATATCTACACGAGATGAGAAGGTTAGGAAAGCAGGACTAACCGTGTCTCCCATTTATACTAACCCAATAATCAAAAGTTTAAAAATCGAAAATGAGCACCTCATCAAATAGTACGAATTCGTTTAGTATAGGACTTTCTCGAAGTTTGACCAATCAGGCTCCGGATCTGGGACCGTCCATAGCATTCACCGTTCTTTTCGGCATTTCGTCTATGTTATATGCGTATCGAAGCTATAAACACCGTCGTCTAGCGTACTACTATCTCTTTGGCTTCACCATTCTTCGTACAGCAACATACATTTCTCGCGCTGTCTGGTCTCAAGACAAGAGTTCATCTACAGATGCTATAGTTGGTGGTGTCATCGCGGCAGGTGGATTTTTCTTAGCCGCTCAATCGTTATATGTTCTCTTTACTGTTTGGGTTGCAAAACTGTTCGGTGGCCTCGATAATCTCCCAAGAGGTGTCCAGATGCGCGTACGACTTTTGAAGATCTTACTCCCCCTCTCATCAATAATCGGTATAGTTGGTGCAGTAAAACAATTCAGCGCGACATCGATAGACGACTATAATTTCGGTACAGCAATGAGAAAAGCATCTATTTTAGGATTCGCAATTCTTTTGGTATTACTTATGTTTTCAACGATACTATACACTGTTCTAAAAGGCAGAGGGCATAATAACGTGACAGTTGTGCTGATTCTGTGCATAGGAAGTTTGCTATTAATGGTCGAGCTAATATATCGAATCATCTCGCTTTGGAGTGATTCGACGGCGGATGTCAACACGAAAAAATGGGTATTTTATGTATTTCTATCTATTCCCGAGTTTCTGTTTTGCGCCTTTATGGGGATAGCAAATCTAGAAAAAGTTTTTTACACTGACGCTAGTGCTAATGATATTGATAGTGAGAAAGGAGGGAACTAGAACCCTTGTTATACCCAACTTATGTCTCAAATCTACCAGTGTCTATAACTGATGCTACTATAGTACACTAGACGAACTTAAAATAATTGTAATGAAATATGGGTAATTCTTTTTGAAGGCGGCAAAAACGCTAGTACGATTTTTTGGGTTAAGGTGTTAGAATCCGTGATTTTGGGTACCAAGTTTGTATCTAATTATATCTGTTTTTAGCAATACAGTACAATATAAATTAAGGGGCTTTATTATGATATTATAAATTCAATAATAATGAATTTTATTAACTTATTATTAAAAGTATCGCGGAATTTTTGTATTGTGATGTCACGTGATTATATATCAAATTGTTTCGCGAATTTTGAGTGAAACTAATCTTTGATTTTTAAACTTTATCGTCTTTAATTCAAAGATTATACATTTTTCATTACGCAATGCCTTCTTTAAACTTAAGAAAAAATATTTTTACATTACTTAATTCCCATCCTTATTCTTTATTATTGAATTATTATTTTTTTCTCAAAAGAATCTTACTGCTTCAATTTTACATAATGTGTAACTTCTCATTTATCAAGAAATCATTCAAATCAATTATATAATTATTTTTTTATTCATTCTCATATTGAAAAATCATCTTTTCTAGATTTCAAACATATAACAAAAATTAAACAAATACTTAATAATCTCAAAATTATGCATTTTACAGAATATAAATCCAATGTTTTATCTTTAGTAGCTAAATCTAATTTAAAGTAACTAATCAAGATTTTGTTTTGTTTGATTTGAATTAGCTTAATGAACTTATTACCTTTTTAAATAATATAGTTTTTTAACTAATAATATACAAATATGAGTTGGTTGTTATATAAAAGTTAATATAATATTATAGATATTTTTAATATTTTAATAAAAAAATTACAAATACTTTTTATATAGATTTTAAAAAACCAGTTAAAATTAATAGTTTTTTATTTAGAACCAATAAAATTTTTAATGTAACAATACAAAATTTTTTTAAAAAATTTACTATATTTTATAAAGATAACAATAATATAATTTAAAATTTTTTTATTGTAATTTCATAGAATTTGTTTTCAATCAAATTCTAATTTTTATTTAAATTAATTAAATTATTATATTTTATTTTTAATTATTTACTATTTCTTTATAATAAAAATTTTTTCTTGATTTTTTTGTTAAATATCATAAAAAATATATTATTATTATTATTATTATTATTATTTTTAAAACCCTCTGTCAGGCTAGGTACGTGTGCTTTATTAAACATGTGTATACTTTACATTGAAAAATATATTGCTAAAGCTAAGACTCTACCTAACTCACTCGTCTCTGTTTTAAAGAATTAATAAAACTCTAAGTGCAACTTCGGGAGTGATTTATCGTTCCATTAACAGTTCAGGTAAAGACCCTTCCAACTATTAACTTTATTGCCTGCAGGTCACTACTGCAGATCACTCTGCGATATTCTGACAAAACTTAAAACCCCAGCTATTTCATTCCATACTTCACTCTTCTTGTTAAAATTTCCCGAAAGTCTTCATCTTTGAGATTTCCTTCTTCAGGTAGTGGCTCTTTTTTCTTCATGAGTTTAGATTTCGGGCTTGAAAGATGTGGATGTCTTCTTGTCTTGTTCTCTCTATCAATTCCTTGTGTTTTTTTTCACTCAATTACCATTTCGCATCTCTTGTTCCAGATTTCTTTTCAGACTTGATTGCAGACTCTTCTTTGCATTTTTATTATCCATTTTCTTGCTATTATTCCTATGCGTTTACCTTGATATTTTAGATCTACCATTTCTAGGATAATATCTGTTCTTATAAGACCAGTACAGAAACTTAGTGTGTCCTGACTAGTTTTAGAAACCTGTTCTACTACTTTAGAAATCCATTTGTCAAACTCTCCTATCTCTTCTCAATCATTAATAATTAATCTAGAATTTTTCTCCTCAGCCTCTCTCTTTCTTTCCTTTAGCAGCTCTTTAAAGTTTCTGGTAATACTATATACTTCTTTATTTCATACTTTTTTTAGTTGGTTCTTATAGACTGAACATTCTAGCAAGTGTTCTATGGTTTCATCTTGTTGGCTACATGCGATACATTTCACTTGTTTGTATAGGTCTGGTCTTCTTATAGCCAATTTACTTAGTGTAGATAGCTCATCATTGATCAGTTTGATTAGAAAGCTTCTTTGTTGGGATTGTTTGAAAGATGTATCCTACGTGTGTCCGTCTTTAACCCTTTCCCATACTAGGTCCCATGTATGAACCTGGTGTTCTGAAATCTGTTGACTTCATTTTTTCTCAGTTTTATTTTGTTGTGTCTACTGATAGGCTGTTGTTTTGTTATTAATGTTCTTAATAAACTGCCTGATTGGATCATCTAGAGTCATCCCTTGCTACTTGATTTCAGTAATAATTTTATGTGAGGTAAGATTTTTCCATTCAATCAGTGGAAATTTTAGAGCTTCTTTAGCTAAGATATCTGCTTTTTCATTATAAGAATCATTTGAATATGCTTTGACTTTTGTGAGCTTTAGATCTATATTTTTCTTCTTTATTAGCTCTACCATGTGTGTCCAGGGTGACCAATTTTTTTCTTTGAGCCATCTCTTGTGTATTCTTCTTGAATCTTCTTTTTTTAAAGATTTCCACTTAGAGATACATGCCTGACTGTCTGTAAAGATTTCTACCATGCTTTCTATTGAAACTACCAGAAGAATTGTTATGATCGCTACTAATTCTGCTCGTGTAGATGAGGGTCACTTTTCTACTCCTGTTTGAAACTTGCTTTCCATTCCATCTTTGCCAATTTGAATTCAAGCTAGATCCATCTTCATTTCTTCTTTACTATAATTAATAAGTGATCCATTAGAATAGAAGATTGGCTTTTCTTTGAATTCGAGATTACGTTAAAGTATAGCTATCAGATAATCTTGATATGCACCTTCTTTAATATTTTCTTTGATAATAGATTCTTCCCAGGTTTCAATGTTCACGTGATTTATTCTGTCATTTTGAATCTTGAATGGGCTTTGGTCT